GGGGGGGGGGGGGGGGCGAAACCGAATCATGTAAACACGTGTGCGCGAGCATGTGCTCGAACATCACACTATACCACTATCAACCATCGAGGCAAACGCATTGGGAGTTGCCGCGTTATTTTCTAGATTATTCCGCGCCGATTTTTAATACCGCGTTTCGACTTCATGACATTTGAGGCGATAATTAAGACAATTTAAGCCGCGTTGTCCTCATATGAGCAAGTGCTGCGGGCCTTACCGCGACAGGTAATTACTGCGTTTTATTTACTTTTTTACTTGTTAGGTAGAGAAATGTCGCGATCGAATTCGTCAATGCCGATCAAATATTATCATCATCCATTTAATATTCGAGTATTATTTTTTTATTTATCATTTAATTTATACGGATATTATTTAATTATTACTATTGCCCATAGACATAGGAAAGCAACTCGGGCGTGCCATTATAACAATTTCTTCACTTCATCTTTAATCAGTTATTATTGCCATTGTCCAGTTAATGTTATTCATTGTTATTACCGATTATTCGATCATCGTTATTCCGTTATTATTCACTCGCGGATATTATCACACGATTGTCGAGCAGACATTATTACCACTATTAAATATTCGAGTATTATTACTTCTTTATTCCATTATTATTTAATTTATTCGGTAATTATTTAATTATTATTAGTATGCATAGGAAAGCAATTCAGGCGTGCTGTTACAATTTATTTACTTCGTGTTTAATCAGTTATTATTGCCGTTGCCCAGTTATTGTTATTCATTGTTATTACCGATTATTCGATCATCGTTATTCACTTATTATCCGCTCGCGGCTATTAACACACGATTGTCGAATAGGTATTATTATCATTACCATTTATTATTCGAATATTATTACTTTTTTATAACAATTATGATAATATCTGCTCGACAATCGTGTGATAATAGTCGCGAGCGGATAATAACTAAATAACGATGATCGAATAATCAGTAATAGCAATGAATAATAATAACGGAGCGACGGCAATAATAACTGATTAAAAACGAGGTAAAGAAATCGTCGTAACGGCACGCCCGAGTTGCTTTTCTACGCGTAATAGCAATAATTAAATAATAATCGAATAAATTAAATAATAATCGAATAAAGATGTAATAATACTCTAATATTAAATAGTAATGATAATTATATCTGTTCGACAATTGTGTGATAATATCCGCATGTGGATAATAATGAAATAATGATGATCGAATAATCGGTAATAACAATACTTGGGTAACGGTTCTAACGAAAACTCAAGGCTCCACAAAGGTTAGGTAAACCGATCGTCGTAACGGCCGCTCGGGCCGTTGACTGAGCGACGCTGTGG